AACAGTACTGAGGGCTGTGCTGGGGAGCTGGGCCTGGCAGGGATGGCAGGGGGTGCTCTCATGGGTTGCCCTGGAAGCTTTTTTTTCCACTGCTGTCCTGCCTTTGGGTCTTTGTTGTCATCTTCCATGTATGAAACGCTGAAAACTGCCGAGTGTCACCCTCATCTTGTGGTTCTGAGGGGTGTGATGGGATTTTGTGTGACTTGGGAGCTCGGAGAAGTAGATTACCTGAGAAGTTTTCTTTCACTGTGATGTCTCTCCTTTGACATTTTCACTGGCCTGAAGTTGTTCTTACTGATATTGATACTGATACTTCATGTGAAACTACAAGACACTGAAAACCATTAATTCAGAAACTTGGTTTATTATTGCTAGACCTTTGAATGGAATGTTGAAAAAGTCAAGATTGTCAATATGAATTTTGTCAAAAGTCAATATGAGTGATCAGTTTCCCTTATCGCTGTAAGTTTCTAATTAATAGCTGAAATGTCTTGTTACACTTGGGTTGGAACAAGATGAGCCTTGAAGTCCTTCCAACCCACACCATTCCATGATTCTGATATTCACAATATAAGCTGTAGATTAAATTTAAGCAAGGGGAAATATGGCACCATTTAACAAGGAAAACTTGCTTGTACTCTGAAAGTTGAAAACTTGTTTATGTTTTGGAGTCAGGAAAGAGAAATGTTTTTGTGTACAACCCCATTTGGATAATAGGCTTTTTTTTCCCTGTTGTCATATATGATGAGTCACCTGCTTGAGTTATGGCACCATTTAACAAGGAAAACTTGCTTGTGCTCTGAAAGCTTGAAAACTTGTTTATATTTTGGAGTCAGGAAAGAAATGTTTTCGTGTACAACCCCATTTGGATAATTGGGGTTTTTTTCCCCTGTTGTCATATATGATGAATCACCTGCTTGAGTCGCCATATGAAAGACACAACAGGAGATAAACTCAAGTCTTTGAATGATCTGTTGGTCATATTTTGAATGGTTTTAGTTTCATGTTTGTTAAGCTTCTCTCTGATCTTGAGAACCATTCTTGAAGAAATATAAGGAAACTTTTTCTGGAAGTTACCCTTCTTTTAAGAGTATCTTTTCTTTTTCTGGTGTGACTTAAGTATGCACTACCTGACAGTTGACTATGACACCCAGCTGTAAAAAAAAAATTTAGAGAAAACTAACCTGATTTTTTAAATAAATAAAAACTCTCTGGCAATGTGATGTGTTGCCTTGATTCGCTGTGTGTTCAAACAAATACCAGAGTCATTCCAAGGGAAGGGACAAGGAAAGCTCAGGAATGGGAAATTGGGTCCTTATTTTTTTGACAGCTGTGGCAAGCTCTTAAACTAATATATCCACAGTATCTTTGCTCACATGATATCATCATCCTCGGCACCACAGAGATGATTTTTAAAAGCCACTCAAAAATAATGATGCCTGTGGCACTTAAACATTTTGGCTTCAGAAGTCAAGCAAGTTGAAAATACTGTCACGGAATGTTTCTGTATAAAAATAGGAGCTGTAGCTTTAAAGTAAGTGCTAGTCGATTTTAACCAAGTTGTTCAGAGGGGATGATATGAAAAACTCTTCTTTTTAGTTATGTTAACAGAAGGAAATTATACTTTCCATTTTAAGTCAGGATTTGTTTTGATTTGTGGGTGTGAGTTGCTGCTTCATAAGAACACCGGAAGTTTTGACTTCATAGAAATGTTTCAACATGAAAGGGAAATGTGCAGGGAGCCAGAGGAGGCTGCTGTGTAAGGTAGTGGGAAGATATTTTGAAATGCCTAGATTTTCTAGGAAGTAGGAAATTCAGTTATATGACAAGTATTGTGGTTTAATGTGAAAATAAGAAGCATCAATGTTCACTGGCCACTTTTTACTGAGGAGTTACTGCCTTCACTCATCGGGTAGATGCTGTAATTCTATTCATCAAATCCTTTAAAAGTGTTAAGTGGTCATTTGCTTGATGGTTGAGAAAAGTTCACATAATATGCTTCAAAAAAGTGGCAGTTTTTTGGGGTGGAGGATATGAAGGGGAAAGGGAGTTGGTTTGGCCACTAAAGCAAAGTGAGATTTGAGTTTACATCCCACACATTGGTCTCCCAGTTTAGGCAGGTCACGGTGGAGGATATGAAGGGGAAAGGGAGTTGGTCTGGCCACTAAAGCAAAGTGAGATTTGATTTGAGTTTACATCCCACAAATTGGTCTCCCAGTTTAGGCAGGTCATGAGGTTCAAAACTTGATGAAATTGTCTGATGGCCTGGTGTTAATCCCCCAGGTTTCTTGAAAATAACGAGGTTGGGGTTTTTTTACAAATTGAAGGAGGCTTCTGTGAATAAACTTGGGCATCTCGTTTCTAGTTGCTCTTGTAACTGTTACAAGTTGAGGACAGTGATTTCCCTGGTGCCTGAAATATTTGGTGTAACAAATTTAAGCATCTATGACAGTAACATTTGTGGAAGCATTGCATGCTTTTTTGAGAACATCATTGTAGTATTTCTAATTTGAACATATTTTCTCTTGTAGTCATTATTAGTTTGTCAAATTAGGTAACATTTGCTTTAAAGTGCTGTGAATCTGTCTCTCTATGGAACTTGTTCCTGTTGAAGGATACATTTGTTGCTTATTAAGAGTTCTTGTGCCTAAACTACTCAAAACTTGTGTTGGATACAGAAGCTCTTGTCTCCCTTCTAATAGTAGTGAACTCTTAAAACCACAGTCCTTCAGAAAATGTTTCTTTAATGTGCACAAGGTTTTTATGTTGCTAACATAAGTGCTTAAATACTTACCTATTGAGTGCTCTCATTTGTTTTGTAGAAGCAACTACTCCAGTGTTTTTCATTCTTTTTCTTTAAAACAGCACTGCAGCTGTGACTGGGAAAAAATAGAGGAGCCCAGTGTACTTTTTGGAGGGTTTTTTGAATGGTGGGCTTCAGGGGTTTTTCATTGTATTCTGCAGTGTGGGTATTGTTGAACAGCCATACCTGCCTTTCATCTGTATGGTTCTTCCGTGTGTAATACAGACTTTGTGGTACAAGTTTGTGGTTTGCACAGACCTGCACTGCCACTAAAAGCAGCTGTTCCCCCTCTTCCCATCTGTGGCTTGTCCCCCCTCTGTCACCACTGGCATTTGGCAGTCTCTGTGGTAATTTGGAGTGAGAAACAAATCATGGTTTAAACTGCCTTGGGGAGGGGGTGCAGGAGGAAGGTGGAGCTGTGCCTCATGGTGCCAGTGTTGGTCAGTCTGCTTACTGACCACACCAGAACATATTTTTCTGCAGATAACAGTGGTCAGAAAGAAGAGATTATTTCCCTGGTTCTGTGCAGTACTCTTTGATGCAGAGGTGTGTGTAAGGGGGTCTGATGTTGCTGTTCATGGTAGGGAAGCAGCTTAGGTGTGTACAAGCTGAGCTGACATGGTAGATTGGAGAGAGGAAGTGACAGCCCAGAAAGAACCACATGGTTAGAAATAAAGTTGAAAATCTATTTGTTATATTCAAATGGTGTGTATGATACTGAATACATAAGAGATGTACAAAATATAAATACAAGTTACTCAATAAACTGTCAGGTTGTTTTTTTTTCCCAGAAAGGGAAATTGTTCAAATGTAGGATGGGTGGTCCTAGGGGTAGCTGTATGGAGGCTCAGTCTGCAGTTGTACTTCCCAGCTGATTAGAAAAGGAGTCGTGGGGCTAGCTCCTCAGGAAAGCACAGATACTGTAAGAAACATCTTAAATTTAACTCCATCTCTGTTTCTGGGGTACAGCCAAGTACTGACATGTTAGGAACATACTGGCTGTCTGCACTAGCAATAGTTGGGGGCAGTCAAAGTGGATCAGTAGGTTGAAGCATCAGTGCTGTGGTTCCTCACACCACTGTTCGTGTGGCTTGGAGGGCTGACCATGGAGGTGGTGATGTCTGGTTTCCTGTGCCAGAAGTCTTAACTGTGCATGTGGTTCAATGGTTTCTGAACAGAAACATTAGTTATGTCCTGGAAGACCGTATAGTGCCATAGCCTGCCTATGTACTGGTTTGCAGCTTTACATCACCAGGTTGTTCAGCCTGGGGAAGGGAAGGCACTGGGGAGACCTTAGGGCACCTTCCAGTGCCTGAAGGGGCTCCAGGAAAGCTGAGGAGGGACTTGGGACAAGGGCAGGGAGGGATGGGATGAGAGGGTGTAACTTAAAACTGGAAGAAGGTAGATTTACATTAGACATTGGGAAGAAATTATTTGCTGTGAGGGTGGTGAGACACTGCAACAGGTTGCCCAGAGAAGCTGTGGCTGCCCCATCCCTGGCAGTGTTGAAGGGCAGGTTGGATGGGGCTTGTGCAGCCTGGGCTGGTGGGAGGTGTCCCTGCCCATGCAGGGGGGTTGGAACTGGATGGTCTCTAAAGTCCTTCCAACCCAGACCAGTCTATGAATCATTGGAGCTTTTGAAGTAGACCTGTGCTGGTATCAGCTCTGCATTGCTGCCCTGGCCACCTTGCTGGTGTAGACATCTGCTTCCCAGCCCCTGGCTGGGGGCTGAAGTGCTAGGCACATGGAAATGGGCTTGGTGGCTGGGCAGAGTCACCAGACCTTTGAACTAAACGTTAAGCAGGTCACACCTGTAACAAACGAACAAACACAAATCCTTAAATGTATCAAAGGTGTTCCTTTTAGTTCTGCCACTCAGAAAAAGTAACAAGTAAAGCTTGATTATCTTGGTACTTAATTTCTGCTGTGGTTTTACACCCAGTTAGAGAGATTTACACTGTAACTGTTGTTATGCTGTGGCCTGCTGGTAATGCTGAGCATGTTTTACAACCTCATTTTCATTTCCTGTGGAGAAGGGTTGCTGTTTTGTTTCTGTTTGTTTGGGGAATTTGTTGCGAGGGGGCTGGGTACATGATACCAAATCTCTTTCAGTTTTGCCAGCCTGTATTTCTAGTGCTGTCACCAAAGATAGCACACAAAATAGCAACATCAAGTAATGATTTTAACCTCCTTTCAGGATCCTGGACCACCACCACCTTCACCATTGATGGGTTTGAAGCCTTTGCAGTTACTAGAGATCAAAGCTAGAGGAAGGTTTGGTTGTGTATGGAAAGCTCAGCTGCTGAACGAGTATGTTGCAGTGAAAATATTCCCACTTCAGGTAAGCAGAAGTTCTTGCTGCCCTGTGTTGCTTGTAATAATGTGGTGTTAAACCAGCTTTTCTAGGCACAGTCAGAGGCTTTTATTTTAGAGAATTTTCAATATTTGCTGTAAATCTCGGTAGTTCAAAGAAGTTCTTAAATGCAGGAGATGTCTTGAGCTGAAAAATGTACAGGTAGAGTTTTATTGCATTAAAATAAGCATTTTAATGCAGCAAACATTATTGAAACATAAACTCAGTGAAATTTATAGATGTTTTTAGCCATAAAATATGTATTTTGCATAGTAGCTTAAGCAGCTCTTGCACATCAGTTGAGAAGAATTTGTTTATATTTTTCAAATTAAGTTGTACTTGGAAGGAATGTCCTGAAATGCAAACCCATAAGCTGATTTTCCCAACTAAATATGTCACAATTAAGGGCAATATTGTTTACTTCCCAGCATGTGCCTTCTGAAAGCCATGTTTTAGAATAGGTTTTGCTCACAATTGTAAGATTCAGTCTAGCTAAAGAAAACAAACTGATCATACACAATGATATTAGGACAGATTATTAATAAAATCACCCACTGCTAATTAAGGTGGAGAAATGTGCTTGTGTTTTCTGATGATGAACCAAGTGCTGATTTGCTGAATAAATACATCTGCAATTCTTACACTGCTAGGAGAAATGGCAGGTATTTATGCTGGTTTCAGGCATCAGCATGACAAATTAAATCTGAGACATTGTTCATTATTTTTAATGAAGGAAATTCTGTTTTTAATTTTTTGAGAATTCTTGTAGATCAATAAAAAAAAAAAAAAACCAAAAAATTGAATCATGCTCTTAAGAGTAAAGCAGATGTAATGATTTGCAGTACGAAGACTCCAGTCCTGATCTACAGCTTTTTGTTTCCATGGTTCATACCTGGGATAGTTGATGTTATTTTCAACAGCTGATACTTGATTACGACAAATAAACGTTTTTCAGACCATTTTCCACAATACGTGAATGTGTCATGTAGGTGAAAACAGTTTTACACTATTTTGTATTATTGTATTTGTATTATTTGTCAGTAGTTCTTAGCACAACTATTATTAGTTTAAATATTTGTAATTTTTAAAGAATTAGCCTCACAATGTTACTAGTGTACACTCCTTAAGTAGTAAATCCTGTCTTGCCAAAAAAAAGGGGTTATAGTAATTTTGTCAGATCATTTACAGATGCACAGTGGATTATAGGAAGAAACTTCTGTTGAGGAAAGTACCTGTTATTATTATTGACTTGGTTTGATGTGTTCTTCTCTTTAAAGGACAAACAGTCATGGCAGAATGAATATGAAATTTACAGTTTACCTGGCATGAAGCATGACAATATTTTGCAGTTCATTGGCGCAGAGAAGCGAGGCAGTAGCATTGATGTGGATCTCTGGTTAATCACAGCATTTCATGAAAAGGTGGGTTTACCTCTCAATGCAGTTTCCTTTTTCTTTTTTTTATGATCATAGTAGAGGAAGAACAGCCTTAGAAATGTGTCACAAATGTGATCTTTAGTCAAGAAATAAAATTTAAGATTGGCTTGTCTCTTTTCATTGGATATGAATGTGTTTAGGTTTGTTTTCAGCCAGCTGAAGAAGTTGCCATCAGTCTTAATAGAGGAGTTGTTTTAGAAAACAAACACATCTCTTTTTTGCTTTTTAGAATGTGTGCTTTTAAATAGCCCCCATCAAAGTCTGCCTAAATTAAATCAACTCCATCCTGTAAAGATTGTGGTGTTTTGGTTTTGTTTGGTTTGTGTTAGCTGATTTATGTCTGTAAGAATGAAGTGAGACATACCAGTTGTATTGTGATAAGCAATATTTAAATATTTATAATTAGCAAAACATTCACTGTTTGGTTGTGGGATTTTTTTGTCCATGTAGATTTAATTTTTTTTTAATGCATGTACCTGTCACAGATTTAAGTGCAAAGGGCAAAAAAAAAGCCCCAAACTTGTAACTAGCACTAGCACAGGCAAAGGGACATTCCCCACCACTCTGGGTCTGTCCAGCCAGTGTCCCACCCGGCAGAGTGTGTGCCCATCCAGGCCATGAGCAGCCAGGTTTTTTCATCAGGGTGCTGTGGGAGACAGTGGCAAAGGCCTTATGCAAGTCCAGTAGTATCAAACTCATTTGCTTTTCTCAAAGGCTGTTGCCATATTTTTGTTTGGTTTTTTTTTGTCAAAGAGTTGTAAAAATCTTGGTGGGCTTGGAAAGGTGGCATCTGAGATGGCTCTAGTGAAAAGCAGGAACTCTTCATTTTAGTTTTCAAGTGGAGCCCCTGCACTTTGACAGTGCTTTGTTCCTCTTACCCTTTTGTGTTGGCTTTTCACACAGGAACAGGTGACACGCTGACATCACACAAACCCAAACCGGGTAATATGCAAATCCATGCAAATGTGCCCATAGAGCAGGCTATAGGAGTTTGAAGAGAAGTACTTTATGTTGACTAGATTTTTACTTGACATCATCTCTTAATTCAGAGTATGTATTTCACTCTGAAACTCTGTTGTGAATCTGGAGATAACTTGCTGGTCTCTAAGAACAGAAAGACTTGGACTATCAATGAAAGGTCTTGGAGAATGCAGACACACCTTGATCAGCAGGATTCTTGGAGGTCAATTTAACCTATAGTTTCCTGAGCCTGGAAGATTATAAATCACCCTTATAAAAGTAGGGTTGTCTTTGTAATGACCTTAAGTGTCTTCAGTCTGGCTCCCATTTCTGACACAGGCAGTTCAGCAGAGTCCATTGGCAAGGGTGCTGCTGAGCTGGAGTTATTGGCACTGGTTCCTTGTGGAGGTGGTGTATGGGTGTATCTTGATTCTCTTCATGGACTAGAGATGATGCACAAGTTCATTTTTTGTTGTTTAAACAAGCAGTTGATTGTGTGTGTGCATGTACAATTACCTGCCCCATCAGAAAGCAGAAAGGCAGAGAGACATAGTGTGTTCCTTAATGATGGAGATGTTTTCTTCATGAGTAGATGGGAGTGGAAATGATCTCATAATTGCTTTTCTCCTTCACTCTGCAGGGTTCATTAACAGACTTTCTCAAGGCTAACGTTGTTTCCTGGAATGAGCTGTGTCATATTGCTCAGACAATGGCCAGAGGCCTGGCTTATCTCCATGAAGATATACCAGGGCTGAAAGATGGACACAAACCTGCTATCTCACACAGGTAGAGTATCTGTGAAAGATTTGCAAGTGACTGTTAATATTTAACTTGGAGCTAAAGGATGTGAAATGTGGAGAGACAGGTATACTATGGTATCTTCCTTCCAGAATTATCAAGAGCCTCAGGAGAAAAATTTGCTCAGCCTAAGCAAAAATCTAGCTGATGGTTTATAGAGCTTGGTGTGGTGATTGTGGTCAATGTCATAACTTCTTTTTTTATACAGTAAATTAGTTAAATACCCTCTGCAGTGTATGAAATAATTTGCATTATAGCTATTTGAAACAACTCAATCTCCAGGGTATGTAACATAAAGTGATAGTGTGGATGCCTCCAGATAGAGACATCCACTCTCAGTGCTGCTGTGCCTATTGTTTAGTGTAACTGCTGTTTTGTTTTTTTTTTAATTAGTTAGGTATAGAAAGCTGTTAATAGAAGTAGGGAGCTGAAATTGCAGTGGTAACCAAAACAAAACTTAGGCATACGGAGTAAGAGAGATGCAGGTTCTGCAGAATTTGGAATTTCATTAATTTAGGAAACATTCTTTGGTTTATTTATTAGCTTTTGCTTAGAACTTTGTGTGGTGTTTCATGTTGAAGATTTCTGATTGTTCTCCTTCACTTAAAAGGGACATCAAAAGCAAGAATGTGCTGCTGAAAAATAATCTTACAGCTTGTATTGCTGATTTCGGTCTAGCTTTAAAGTTTGAGGCTGGAAAGTCTGCAGGGGACACCCATGGACAGGTAAATGCCAATGTCTCTACAGCAATGATTCAGCAGGTGACTGCAGGAATGGGAATGGAGAGTTGGGGCATTCTTCATGCCCTGTTTCCAGTGAGCTTTAAGAAATGAGGCCATTTGTTCTTTCTTCTTACAGGCTACAAATTAATTCATTAGTTAATTACAGATCACAGCCTTCCCCCAGCCCCCATCCATCTCATTACATGGCCTCTTTCCCCCCATTATTTTCATTCTTATGAAGGATTTGGACAAGGAAGAGTCCTGTTGTCATATTTTTAATTAATTGTTCTGAGATACTGTTGAGAAATGATTTCCAGTTTCTAACTTTCTGATGTAACGAGAGTTGCTTCCCTGAAATGGCACCAGTACTAACCAAGCACTTTTCATTCAGCACGGAACTGTTTTAGTACCTTGTACTTTTAAAATAACAAGCTTGAGCTTTGAGCATTTTGGTTTCTGGAAAACTAAATATATTTAATGCTAGGCTGAACTTGAGACTTTATGGTTGGGCAACAAAATTGAAATCCTTACACTAAGAGGATAAAACCTCAGCAGCACTGCTGAAGAGAAACAACAATTACCATGACAGCTGAAATAGTGGAGAAGATCTTGTTCAGACATCATAGAAGCTCTGGTTTGTTCAGATGTGACATCATTTCATCATCAACTGTGGTCAAAAAGGATGGATATCCCCAAAGTTTTCATTTTATGGCCACTTCTGTATAAGTGATTTCATATAACTTTCTAGTATAAGTTACACTTTGGTAGGTAGTTTTCCTTGGGTGTTTTTATTAACTGTTCCTGTCATAGGGAGAAACATTTCACATACTTGTGACAGAAAAAAATAGGAATAGTGGCCTTACTATAGTCTGGAAAAACATCATGGAATCAGACTGCTTTGGGTTGGAAGGAACCATTTAAAAGGAACCTTTAAAAGTCATCCAGTCCAACCCTTTTGCAATGAGCAGGGACATCTTCAGCCAGACCAACTAGATAAAATAAGGTATGGCAGTGACAAATGTGTTATGTAGGTGTTATTTTAAAATATATTCAGATTTTCCTGCTTCCTGACCCTTTATAGGGTCCAGCCTATACAATTGTTTCTAATTCCTCGTATGTACTATTTGCATATGAGAATACAAGAAACTTCCAGGATGCAGTTCTAAGCAAGGATAACCATGGTGATTTTTAGTCTTTGACAAAAAAAATAGTACTGTCCACAGAATTATTAAAACTGGTACCAGCTGGAGTGGTAATTGTGGTCATGTTGATTGTTAGTGTCCAACTTGTTATGCTTTCCTTTCTTCCAAGGTTGGTACACGAAGATACATGGCTCCTGAGGTACTAGAAGGTGCTATTAACTTCCAAAGGGATGCCTTTCTGAGAATAGATATGTATGCCATGGGATTAGTCCTCTGGGAATTGGCATCACGCTGCACAGCTGCAGATGGTAAGACACACCTTGGATCTTTGGAGATACTCAGTGTCATTTGTGGGAGGTGTATTTAGAGCAAGAAATTAAAAGGTAGATTATATATATATGTAATTAAATATACTAAGGGGGAGTAGTCTTGTGGGGAAGTGAGTGAAACACCAACATCATGTAGTCACTTTATTATTTAGTCTCTTCAGTCTGTGGCATCCCAGGTAAAAGTTTTCTGATACACAGATACCTGCTGCATTTCTTGTCCTGGTAAGAGAGAGGAAGAATGACTGTGGAGCTCCTGACCTAAAATGTCTGATCTCTGCCAAGGTCAGCCAGACAGTCTGAGTGCAGTTCACATTATCTTGAAAGTGTTTAGACTTTTCCTAAAGAAAAGCTCAGATTAGGTTAGCCTTGGTAACACAGATGTCCCACCAGCACCTGCTGAGAAACTGCTGTCTTCTGCTGCACACTTGAGCATCCAGACAGTGACCACCTGCCTCTTCATGCTGCCTGTGGAAGGTGTGCTCATTCATGGCAGAGAGCTGGTCCCAGGAGAGCAAGGGAACACAAGGCTGACAGATCTGGAAGAATTTTCCTAGGTCAACATATATTTTTATTTCAAAGAGCACTGGTGGAGTTAATGATCTTCTAGCTGCTTATGAGCATATGTAGGACACCCTTGTCCTTTCTGACTCATGGTGACCTGCCCTCCAGTGCACCAGGAAGTCATTTGGCTGCAATGATGCACAGAGAAGTCTCTGCTTCTGGTTTAAGCACAAGTGAGACTGTGCTGTGTCAGTTCAGTGCCTGCCTGCCTTCTCTTTCTTTTTCTTGTCTCTAATGTAACATTAGTTCAGCTCATAGACATGTCAGAATTTTTTATTAATTGCTGATAGCTTACAGACTGAAAATACAGCAGTGTCTGAGAAATCTGAGGCTGATCCTTTGTTAGCTATGGGTCCATCACAGTTGTTTTCATAAAGCAAACTGTTGGATGCAATATTTAATCTATCCAGAAAAGGTACCGGATTCCCTCTTTCCAGTATGAATACTGTGCTTCAGTTTTGTAAAGGGAGCTCTTTTAAAGTCACAATTAATCAGGGACAAGACAAAAGACAAGGCTCAAAAAATGTTTGGGAGAAATCTGCATTTTCAGTAGTCTTTAGAGCAGCTAAATTTCACCTAAGTATGTGTGAGGGTTCCACATGGGCTGGTGCTGTCACCTGTGACAAAGCTCTTCTCTGAAAGCCCAGGGCAGCTGCCCGATGGCCGGAGAAGCAGCCAGGAAATGTTGGAGGTCTCAGCAGATGGGTGTGTGGCTGCCCAGTGCCCTCTGCTCCAAGCAGTGCCTGGCTGCTTCAAACATTCATCACAGAGTTGAAGCCACTGGGGAGACTACCCTTTTGGAAATGTTAAGCTGTTTACTAACAGGATCCACACAACCTTGCACAGGCCTCTGAGGCAGCCCCACCTTCTGGATCGATTTTCATGCCTCGGTGTGCTGCCAGACCTCTGGA